CCGCTGGGGCAGTGCCGTAACTAGGGCGGTGCCAGCGGTGCCCAGGCACAGGGCGCAGACCCTGGAGGGGCGCAGAAATGACCAGACCAGTATCTAGTTTTGTTTCATGCACGCTCTGCACCTTCAAAAAGGTTACATTTTTTTATATTTCTCGCACCGGGCGCATAAAAGGCTAGTTACGGCACTGCGCTGGGGCAGGAAAGTTCTTGAGTGGCGACCATGAACTGGAAGACGCAGCTTGGGCAAGCCTCACACTAGGTGGACCGATGATCTGGTGAAGGTCGCGTCAGGTGCCTGTATGCGAGTGGCACAGGACCGGTCTTTGTGGAAATTCTTGGGGGAGGCCGTTGTCCAGCAGTGGACGTCTTTCGGCTGAAACGAACGACTGAGTCTTTATTTAATTAGATTGGTATATTTAAGATCTAAAAGTGGGTGCCATATCTTAATTTTTGATTGAATAACAAGCGATCTCAGCAATTATTTTGTAATACTTGTTTCATTTACCCCTTGGTCATTTGGGAAAGTTCAACATGAAAGCGTTATTGGCTTATGATAAGCGCAGTATAATTGTATTATTACTGCGCATTTAAAGTTTTGATAAATTATTTTGATTCACACTCCCACTCATAAATGCAGTAAGTTGTAAAGATACGGCGCATATATTACGTTGTAAGAACTAAAATTTAAATCAATCATTTAACACATGTACCGTAAGTAACGAAAACTACTGATAAACGCAGTAAGGAACAATCATACTGCATTCATGGGTAGTAAGTATCGAACGAAATCTTAGTTAATCCATAACATAAACAGTTTTTTAATAATTTTAAATACAAAATATTAATTAAAATACAAAAACCTCATATCAAAATAAACTTTGAGTTTAGCTCTATAAGCCCATATACTGTCAATATCTTTTTAGCTTTTAACGCAAATCTAGTCTTCAAAGCAGTTTAATCGATTTATTTTATTTTCAAAATCGATATTTTATTGTCTATGATGGCCGCAGGAACATCACTATACATGGACTCCCAGCAATAAAGTACGGTAATGCCTCGTACAGATTTTATCGGCAAAAATTATGGAACTTGATAGGTTTTAGACCATGCCACGCACCAAAACGTCCGGAAGATGTAATAGTATTATAGAATAAACGTTAAAAGACTTATTTATTTAATTTTTCAATGCTTAAGTGTCCATTAGAATGAAAGGGTGCTTAATGTATTAAAAAAAATAGAAAATAATTATGATGGGTTAATGTTTTTGGGCGGTTTTTTAGGCGGTTTCTGACAATGTCCTTTGCATGCTGTGTCATCATAGTTAAATAGGTGAAAGCAACATTTATCTCTTTGAAACACCTTTTTGTAAACCCTATTTATTGCAAATAAATAATTTGAATTTGAATTTGAATATATACCTCGATAAATGAGCTACCGAACACTGAAAGAATTTTTCAAATCGGACCGGTAGTTCCTGAGATTAGCGCGTTCAAGTAAACAAACAAACAAACTCTTCAGCTTTAGATGGGAAATAGGATAATGAAAAACATGAATTAATTTTATAAAAGATCTTATTTTTATCAACTTACACTATTGACTAAAATACATTGGAGCAAATATTCATATTATAGACATTATACAAACATTTAAGGCACATGTGTTAGTATGAACCACAATTTTGTTGCTTATTTTTAAATCAAATGCTAACGGTCCAAAAGAACAATAGCTCTTCTACTATAATTTGTATACTATTTTATTTTTCATTTTATTTTATTAGGGATAACAAACAATTGTACAAACGGTTTTACAAAAAGTCTTACAGATATATCTATACTAAATTAAATAAAATTTTAGCAGATTTATTCATATTCTCGAAATGGTCCCATTTGTTATCCTAATCGTATAATTATATAAAAAATAACGGAGTGATATAACTCACCTTCTGGCGCAGTCGGGTAAAAATTGTGGTGAGTTAGGAACTCTAGTATAGTAATAACCTGCATTATATATTAAACTAGCTGACCCGGCGAACTTTGTTCCACCTTAATGGAAATAAATAAGCAGACTTTTTTATTATTTCGAACGGGATAAAAAGTATCCTATGTCCTTCTCCTGGCTCTAAACTACCTCCCTGTCAATTTTCAGCTAAATCGGTTCAGCCGTTCTTGAGTTATAAGTGGAGTAACTAACACGACTTTCTTTTATATATATAGATAATTGGAACTACCCTGGTACCCCGGCTTTATAACTTACAAATTATTATTATAATGATTTGAAAAGCTTTCATTAATATTATCAGAGCACAGGAACCGCTTAAAATGAAACGGTACCTACGATTAGTCTAAAAATATCTATACAAATATAACTTATAGTTATTATTATAGGTATCACATGAATTTCCACCATATTATTGTACCTATATCACTAGCCTGTTTAATGAAACTATTATATCCTACTAATCCTACTAATATAATAATATATGTAAGTATGTACATTTTTGAAGATGGATGTCGGATTTTCATGAAACTTTAGAGTAGATAGGTATTATTGTTTAAACAATTTATTTATTAAAAGAGGTAAGTTACTAGGACGTCCACTCACAAGGTAGATCGATGTCCTCATAAAAGTAGGAACACAGAACATAGAATTTTTGTCTATGTTCTGTGAGCAGGAAGGCGCTGGTTGCAGGTTGCTACCAACCGGTCATTATGGAAATTATTGGAGGCCTATGTTCAGCAGTGGACGTCCTGTGGCTGAAATGATGATGAGTGATGAAAGGATAACAAGTAGATCCTAATCAGCATAATATCCGAGGCTCCTCATGTCGCTGTCGAACTCCTTGTTCTTGTACTTCCTGATCTTCGTCAGCCACTGCTCCAGCGACACCTCGTCTCGGTGTCCTCCGTACCTCTTGGACAGGGACTCATAATAGTTAATTTGATGTAAGGGAGAGTCCGGTAATTTGGACCAGTTTTTTTTCAATCCCATTTTACACATAGTTTTCTTTTGTTTTTGCTAATGTTCATGGTATATAATTAAAGGGAAATTATTCAACTTACTATTTCATAGGTATTAATCAACACAATTGTTGTATATTTAGCACAAATCAACAAAATACGAGTTCAGAGCTTCGGTCCAATTTAGCCAACCGGTTCGATAATTTGTACCACAGGGTTACTAAATTGGATTTCAATAAATTTCAAGCTTATAAAAAAACTATGGCAAAATATTATACGATACACTCTTAACAAATAAGGTAACAAAAAGGAACAGTAGTTAATAACATAGACAATCGATATTGTTTTACACGTTATCACGATTTTGAGTAAAAGTTTTGTAATTCCAATTATCGTAACGCACACTTGTACCTAATCTACTTTGCCAGTCTTTTGCTTTCATTTATTGTTAGTCAAACATAACTACGCTATTATAACTTCAAAATATGATTTACTAAAAAAAAATTCAAAATCCTTTGGTAAATTTCCATACAACTTGATGTGGTACAATTTAGCCGACTAGGTGATAGTGCTTTTAAAAAATCGGAAAAAAATATAGCTTATAAATACCGAAAAATGTTTCAAATAATTGTAATCCACACTAATTTACGCTTCTAAATAATATATTAGAAACACCCTGTGATTAAATTTAACAAAATTACAAACTAAACTTGCATTGTCAAAAGTTACTTGAAAACAATGAAAAAATACTTTTTAAAATAAAACACACGTGTTTGTTGTCACGGCAAAAACCACATGGCCGATATCAGTTGAATTTAGTTGTGTATCACTGAGTGTTGCAATTACAGACATTCAATAAATACTTTACGAAATATGAGGGTGGTACAATTTACCCGGCGGTACAATATACCGAACTCTCCCCTATAAATTAAACATTACTTTAACGTTTCATCGAAATCCGGAAAGAGTAAGGCCCAGAACAGATGGTGAAACGCAACTGCAACGATACTGCAACTTTCTGAAGATTCTGATGAATCAAACTGAAAGTGAAAGTTTCAAACTGGTCGCGTCATGTGTGGTCTCTCAACGGACGCTATGGCAGAAACTTAGATGCAACTCAAAAGCAAGTAGCAGTTGCAGTTTCGTTGCAGTTGCGTTTCATCGTCTGTTCTGGGCTTAAGAAATCAACATTCATCCATCCATCCTTACTAGGTTAGATTAGTCTCGTGGAGCTGTTTGGCAGTTAGCCTTCCGATTGGGCTATGACGCAGTTTCACTATGCGCGAAATTGATCGAATCGCCCATTCTTCTGTGCGGTTTCTCGCTTCAGTTCGATCAATTCCGCGCATAGTGTAACTGCGCCAGTGGCGCATAGTGTAGTTCGTCATCCACACAAACTTTACATATCGTCATTTATGATATTAGTAGCACGGTTTACTGAAGTAGTTCCTAATCAGCGTAATATCCGAGGCTCCTCATGTCGCTGTCGAACTCCTTGTTCTTGTACTTCCTGATCTTCGTCAGCCACTGCTCCAGCGATACTTCGTCTCGGTGTCCTCCGTACCTCTTGGGCAGGCACTCGGGGGCGATGTGTCTGGAAGTGATGAAATAGGTGAGAAAGGGTCAAAAGTGAATCCTACATGTTAATACACATGCCCCCAATATAATTTTCTGCTACGGTAGCAGACTAGGCGAAGAAAAATGGCAAGACTTGGAGCGAGATCAAACGCGAAGCTCAAGACCGAACGCGATGGAGGACTGTTGTTGACGCCCTCTGCCCCATCTAAGGAACATAGGACCTTAAAAGTCAAGTCAATTATTGAATTTTAAACCTACTAATAAGGGATAATAAGGTAGGCCACTGCTGAAAGTAGGAAAAGAAAGGCAGTCACTTTATTGTCAGAAAAAAAACATCTTTCTTCGGAACCTTGGACGAATAAATCGGAACCCTCATATTTTTGGTACGAAGAAGTTTTCTGAAATTCTGACATCTATGGGTACAATAGGTCAACGCCATTACACCGAAAGCGCCAGTTGCGTTGCAAGCTGAGTTGTGTATTCTAACATATTCGCTAGATGGCATTAGCTGTGGCGCCTTTGTATTATGCGAAGTTTCGAACATTGTGTGAGAAAGAGCATTTTCACGGGAAAGTGATTTTCGAGCTTCCGGTCTCAGTCCAATAGTTTTAGTTGGCCGATAGTTGGGCCTTGGGCCCGATTTTTATTTATATGAAGAATCGGGCGATATCAAATTGGTGTATCTAATGTGCGCATTTTCATACATGTCCATCCCAAGACTATCGGCCAACTAAAAGTCAGTGGTTTGCGCCTAGGCTAAAACAGTATAATTGATTACTTCTTTTATCACAACGTATCCAACAACCGGCGCGAACCGGCGGAAGACGTGGAACTATAAAGCTTATTAAAAAAATTGGACACTATTTACAAAGTCAACCTGTATTTATGAACAACTCACCTCTGCAGCGAGCTCAAGTCGTACCCGTGGAAGTGGACGCGCTTCCACAGGTCATCGGCTGGCGCGAACCGGCGGAGCACGTGGAACTATAGAGCTTATTACAAAAATTGGATACTATTTACAATCACCCGGTATTTATGAAAAAATTACCTCTGCAGCGAGCTCATGTCGTAGGTCGTCGGCCGGTGCGAATCGGCGGAACAGGTGGAACTATAAAGCTTATTAAAAAAATTGGACACTATTTACAAAGTCAACCTGTATTTATGAACAACTCACCTCTGCAGCGAGCTCAAGTCGTACCCGTGGAAGTGGACGCGTTTCCACAGGTCATCAGCCGGCGCGAACCGACGGAAGACGTGGAACAGCGTCTCGAAGATGCGCGAACAGTTGATGACGTGCACCCCGCGCTGGTGAAGCGGGAACGCGAACTGCGGACCAAATGATCATCAGCGTCATTTTTTTTATCCACAACGAGGAAGCTCTTGGCTTGTATCTCACCTGATGGTAAGTGATGATCAGGTGGAAGCGAGCTTCACCCGGAATCCTCAACCACAGACGAACTGGCTATCTTACCTCTAACTACCGGAACACAACAATGCTGTTAACATTGTTGTTATGGCGACAGATAAGATGGTGGGAGCTAGCCAGGCGGACTTAGAACAAGCCCTACCACAAACCGAACAGAAAAATCTTCCCCCACCGGGAATCGAATCCGGGACCTCTGCGTCTGAAGCAGGTGGTCTTACCACTAGACCACAAAGGCGGTTACTAGACCACAGAGGCGGTTTCATTCCAGCCTATAAAGTTAATATTCCTTCGGAATAGAGCAACAACCACGAGCTGTCAAACGAAACCAATTTTGCGTGAAACTGGTGTGTCAGTGTCAGGATTATTTCACTGTTTTGTACAATAAATCAATCACTGAACCAGACATCACGTTTCTGAAGCACTTTTCTCATAAACATCCACGATTTCACTCACGTAAAATCTGAAAATATCTGAGAGTTCAAATTTTCAGCCTGCCACTGCATGCCAGTTCAGAACTGTCTCTGAAAAAAATGTTTCTGTTTGACGTGACGACGAAGGCAACACGCATCTCTTCTTATCACACAGTGTTGCTGCTAGTGACATCTCGCTCGCTCAGTTCTTTGTTGCTCTATTCAACCGCCTTTGTGGTCTAGTGGTAGGACCACCTGCTTCAGACGCAGAGGTCACACATTTTCCAGCAGAGGATGTCCTTTGGTGAAGACGAACAAAACTAAAATATTTTTAATTTTTACAATTATACACAGTACTTTTAGCAGCAGTAAGCAGCCGTGGATTAGCCTACAAGACACAGAACTTACGCCCATAACGTTCATGGCCTGCAGAGCGATGGCGGGCGAGAGTTGTCTGAAGTGTTTCATGGTGATGCCCTCGCAGTCGATCAACGCCGTTCCTCCCAGCACTTGCAGCTTCGGCTGCATGATGCCTACTTCCAGCAGTAGTAAGCAGCCGCGGATTAGGTCGTCTACTGGGACCTTGTCGGGGTCCCATCGGCCTGGAATACAAGCAGGAGATTTCAGAAAGGTGCAGCACTGAATTAACTTATCCTATAACAAAAATGAATGCCAAGCTTTTAAAAAACGTCTCTTCAAAAAACTTTTTCTCTTCTAATAACTAAAACAATAACTGCGGTTACAATCTTTGCCCTACAAGGTATGGAATATTTCTATTCTGACAGCCAGGTTCAAGCAGTAGTATCCTCCAGCCGTATAAACATATTCCGAATTTCTGAGAAATCCACTAGACTACAAAGGAGTTAAGTAAGTTAGCATAGACCTGTATGTACGAGGGGTGTCGAGGCAGTGTCCTTTTTAGGCCTTTTTGGAGAGTCAAGAAAATCATCAGACTGGTCGTGGTCAGGTGAATGTAATTCTTAAACGCAATGGTGAACTTAAATGAATTTTTTTACCAGTTTTTAGTTAAGAATTAAACTACCTGCCCAATTTTTTTCAGATTTTTGTGATGGCTTGAAATATCCCATATTCATTACTTTCAGAACACAACTCGTAAGTATCAGAAGATTCACCATCACCACAAAAACAGCGTTGAATGCCAGCTCACCTAGCCTGCAGATGATGAGCCTGCCAACATCAGGTCTGTCAAAGAGCACTCCCTCGTAGACGCAGCCCAGTCTCGTCAGGCTGAACCAGTCCACCTCGCGCCATAAGTGCGGATGCTGTTCCCGGAAGGTGCAGTAGCGGACCAGCTGTTGGAAAAGTAAGAATTTGAATTGCTTCTTTATAATGCCTCCACCACACCAAAGCGTGCAGATCGCCATCGGCGGCGCGATCACGGCGCGATCATAGGCCAATGACAGGTCGCGCGGACAGTCATGGGTCGCGCAACCTGTCATTGGCCTTTGATCGCGCCAGCACCCGTTGGTGTGGTTGAAGCTTAAGATTCATCCATACTAAAGCCTGGTCCGTGAGCACGTAGAATCCCGTCCAATGACCCCAAGCTACCCATCCTTATCGCTCGCGCGTAATTATGTTGCTGTCGCGCTCGCACACTCACTGCGGGCGCGCGTCGCACAGTCGCGACAGCAATATAATTACGCGCGAGCGATAAGGATGGGTAGCTNGCTCGCGCGTAATTATGTTGCTGTCGCGCTCGCACACTCACTGCGGGCGCGCGTCGCACAGTCGCGACAGCAATATAATTACGCGCGAGCGATAAGGATGGGTAGCTTGGGGTCATTGGACGGGATTCTACGTGCTCACGGACCAGGCTTTAGTAATTAAAAGCGATGCGAGGGTGATGGAGCGTGCTATGCTCTGAGTTTCCTTGATTTAATTTGAATTATTGAGGATATCTGCAGGGAAACCAAAGTAACCGATATAGCCCGCAAAACTGCCAGACTTAAGTGGCAGTGGGTGGGGCATAAAGTTCTCGAGTGGTGATTGCATCGGTGGGTCGACAATCTGGTGAAGAGAAGCTCCTGGATGGGGGCAGTGAGGGCCAGTCGTTGTGGAAATAATTGTGGAGGCCTAGGCTTTTTCCAGCAGGGAATGTTCTTTGACTGAGAATATTAATATGGTGTCACTAACCAGTCTGTGCGCCCGCGCGGGCACAGAGCGTCGCGCGCGCAAGAATCGCAGCAGAAATGCGTCGTCCATGCGCGGTGGCTGGCATTCTCCTCTTGCTGGAATATGAAAGAATAGTCTGATTGAAAAACAACATCATTATAATAAATGAGTATAAAATCGTAAATACAAAGTTCGGTCGTTCAAACAAAAGACGGCCACTGCAGCTGACGAAGGTTTCAAGGATTTAAGTACAACGACCGATCTTGCGCTGGTTAGTATCTTAGTAGGCTGGACTTTTTCTTGATTCTAATAATATCCTAAAGGGTGTAGAATAAAATTAATAAATCATATAAAATTGAAATACCAGCATAGGTAGGCTTATTAAAATTAAGGTGTTATTTAAATATTTCTTAAATTCTATTAAAAAATAAATTAATTCTAGAAGTTATTACCAAGATGTTCTGCACAATAATTACGTAATGTACCAGTTCAGTTGCCGTGTCCTGGATATTGCATAAGAATTGTATCTTTTAATTTATTTCTTCGAAGCTAAAAGTAGTGCAAACCCATTCCTTTGAAATTGGCATCGTAAGTAAGTCAACTGATTAGTTATCGAGTATTAGCTAATTATCTTTGGTTCATTACCTCTTTATAAAGTCATAATATTTATAGGTCTCTATAAAATCTTAATACAGAATCTTTGACTCCATCCAAACTATTATTATTTAAAGGGCAAGAAACATGGTGCAAAATAAACACCTAGGCGATGAAGGTTGGATCATTTCATAAGTTGGGGAAATTATTAATTGTGCTTTTAAAGTTTTTACGTGTGACTAGTAACACTTTTGGGAAACTTCCACTTTTTCTGTCCAAGAAATAGCAACGCTAGTAAGAGCTAGTGTTACATACTCGTAAATGATTAGCAAGATTACGGTTAAATTCCCTGCTTGTAAAACTTACGCCCGTATTCACAAACATTTAAACTAACCCTAGAGTAACGTAGGTAGTTCTACTAATTAATAATGTTGTAAATTACTGGGTTGTTTAAGTGAATAAATATTTATTATTAGTTTTCCTAATTTTGTTTATCTCAGCACGGGGCTGGTGTGTTTTAAAACCATTTACGGGCATTGCCAAGTATATGGTCTTACTCTTAAGTCATTGTTTGTGATAGCTCTGAAGAGATTGTCGGTTCATCCTGAAGAAATCGGCGCACTATACTACGAGGTTTCACAGTGCGCTTGGACGTACTGGGTCACATAAATTCAAATTCAAAATTTTTATTGCATATTAAGTGTTTACAATTGGGTCACATACGAACAAATCACAGAGCCCTATTCAACGCTGTGCGTTCGATTTGCTGCTTCACTTAAGCAAGCATCGTTTGTGAATACGGGTGTCAGGCCATTGCACTTCCCTCAAGTTATGTAAGCAGGACGCTACTTCGGAGGTTCATAACTGCACACATCCTCTCGCTGTGCATGCTGTGGTTCAATAACAATTCTATAAATAGCTAACCCAGAAAACCAATCTCAGTCGATGATTATCATTAATTAGGCTAATTAGTCACACGAGATAGTAATGAATTCAAATTGCTTATAATGGCTGATAAACGCTCTAAATTGTGACAAAACTTCAGCATTGGAAGATTTTAGGGAAAGGGGTTCCTATTCTAAGTATAGAGCCCGTATTCACAAACGATGCTTGCTTAAGTGAAGCAAAAAATCGAACGCACAACGTTGAATAGAGCTCTGTGATTGGTTCGTGTGGCACCCTGTGCGTCCACGTGCACTGTGAGACCTTATAGTAATGTTTGTGAATAGGGGCGTATGGCATCTTGTAATGATTTAAGTGCTATTTTGTCAAATAAATAGTATCATGTGCTAAAAACGACTGTCCATTCATCCAAAACCTAAATTACTTTGCAACGCAATGTTCGGGTATTTTTTGAGACAACGAAATTAGTATTCATTACATAGTGACCATGAAAATGAAAACAGTCATCCGCGAAAACATGCAAGAAAAATACGCTATATTATACAGTGGGTTACAGGTGGAAAATGAAAAATTGTATGCGGTTGACTGTACATCCATTTGTTTGATTTTTTGTATGAACGCGAGTATATGTGGTAAGTGCCATTAGTACGCCTACAAAATAATGTTTGCTTTGTGTTATTGTTGAAATAACACTATATCAACAGTTTCTCTGCTGGAGAGATACTTGAATAGAAAATGTTATGATGGTCGGTAAATAAATAAAAACTACTTTCTTTTATGGGCTGTGTGAGGTAATATCAAAGAACGAATGAAGAATGTTTAATACAAGTCTTTTTCCATTTAGCATTTTATCGTTTATAGTATTTATAATTGAGTTGAGTTGAAAATAATATTATAAAACGTCAAATTTATTCTTTAAAGTTATTACATATCTGGAGATCGTTTTCTTTTACATTTTAGTTGTAAAATTTATATGTGAAAATTAGGAAACATGATAAAATACCCAGTGTATTTTTTTGTGTGTATTTTACCGCAAAGAAAAAGGGTCGATTATTTAGAGAAAAGATTATTTAGATAATATTTTCTCTAAATAAGCTTCAAAAGTACCTGACCTAGCTTTATGAAACAAAACATACTTAAGTACTGGAATTTTCCTTGTGGTCTAGTGTACTTGTACTTCATTGAATATCATCACAAGATTTAGTAGTTAGGAATGAAAATTATAATTCTTTTGTGAATAAAAAAAATTCTTAAAAAATCTGATGACACTTTGTCACCGACTGTCCGGATTGCTTTTCTGACATGGATGTAATGTTTGCGCTAAACGCAAAAAACTACAGCGATTTAAACTGCCATCAGACTTGCGCAAGTGTCTAAACGTTGCACGCATACTTGGCCATGAAAAACCTAAAGTAGTGAAAAAATATTTGTTCATAGTTTTTTTACTGTTAAAGTCCAAAACCGAAACAGCACTTAGCATTATTCAATTCTAATTCCCAGATAAAACTTCCTTAAAAACCCTTTATTCTTGCCCTGAAACAGCAATGTCTAAAATCTGTAGTTGAGGATTCCAAGTGAACGTCGCTTCGAACTTCGGCCTGACTTTCCATCGTGTGAGTTGTGGTGTGAGATGCAAGCCGTTTCTCGTTGTGGATAAAAAAAACTGTTTTAGTAATTTTGAAATCAATATGATGTCCATCAAGTTCTCTACCTGACGACGATATAGAGTTACCAATGCAATACAAAATCTTTGGGAGAGTCGCGTTTTTCTTACAGCTCTTAAAAGATATTCAATATCATTACTATTCGTACTTTTCAAAGAACCAGATGGAAGTTACATAACATGATGATAATAATAGTACTGTGTAAAACAGCTCTTTCTAGGACGCATTGTCGAAGCGCAGCGATGCGTTTGACACGGCAACGATATAAATAATTCAGGCAGGGAATGTCTCGCCATTACTATGTATAGTTAGACACCTTTCTGCGCAGTGTGCTTACCATGATACTCATAGTTAGGTATGCTTGCTAGCGAGTGCGTAGCGTGGGACGTCCACCCACAAGGTGGACCGACGACATCATAAAGGTAGCAGGAAAGCGCTGGACGCAGGCCGCTACCAACCGGGTAACGTGGAAAGCATTGGGGGAGGCCTATGTTCAGCAGTGGACGTCCTATGGCTGAGATGATGATGATGATGAGTACGTCAATAAATCTATGAAGATTTTAGTTCTTGAAAGTAACCGCTACGGGCGCTGTACATTACCATACTTATTTACCCAGTCGCTAGCGAGCACACCTAATGTAAACTCACTGATCACGTATTCTTGCAGCCAAATTTGTATTCGAACAAGTGTTTGTTTACGTTACGCTGTTTGTTTAGATGCCAAGAATGAATTTCTATAGTATTGGTTTAGTCATATTCCACCTTGATAACAGGGTTAAGGAATAGTTTTGAGAGAGCCTAAAGTATAGCTCTAGTGTAGCATTTCTTTTTTTAGAATTTTTAAAGGAAACAGTATTTTATTCACATGGCATATACTCGTAATTTATAAAATAAGGGAGGGAATTATCATAATTCATTTTACAATTTTTCGCCAAATTGTCACAAGCACACTGAAATACATAAAAAGTGATTTTCATTTGAAATGTTTCCCCAAAAATGAATAGAATAAAAAGTATTTATTTGTCTCAAAACAGGTTTCATTTACAGTTTACAAAAAGCATAAGAGACAAAAAGGTCTATGACTCAGTGATTGCAGGAAAATACTTGAATTATTTTTATTCGTAGTATTCATTAAAATGTCTACGGAAATAAAAGTATCTTATTTTGCCCCTGGGGACACCCGGCCGGGGACAGAGATTGATGGTCGAAGGTTCTAATGGGATTCTAACGAAGATGTCCCAAATAGTTCAATGTTGAGGGACACTTTTCCCTTTTTGCTAGTCCTAGCTTAATATGAGGATTATAGGGCTTGGTAGGTCGTTTTTCTATTAGATTAGACCCATCAAAAACATAAATGTGAAATGAGAGCCAAGTTCAATATTTTATATGCCTTGGTTGTTGAATTAAACGGCAAAAAAGTGAGACCTAAATGGGTGCCAAGTACAATGGTCAGTCCTGAAATTTATTTATAACAACATATAAAATATGTTTTCTTCTTATGACTTAGGATAATATAATTTGTAGCCTAAGGTCATGGCTAGTTCTCATAATTATACGAATTATTGGGTTCGATGGCTAGTTTCTACCAGCAAGCCAAATTTTCGGAATAATAAATTAAGAACCGGAAAGTAACATGTTTAGAATTTGCGAAGGCAATTTAACGTACCTCTAAAAAACAACCGTTAGATACTTATAATATTAGAGTCGTCCTCCTGCAGTGGAGTCTTAGGCTCAGTTGCACCACCTAACTTTAACCGTGACTATAACGATAACCGGTGTATTTTGTATGGAGTTTGACAGATTTTTGACGTTTGTTAATGTCAAAGTTAGATGGTGCAACCCTGCCTTAATGATCTTATGATAATCGCGCTATGTGAAAGTAGGTAAGTTAGTAATAAAGTATCAAAAGACCTAGATTTGCAAGTTTTGTTTGTTTGTCTAGTTTTGTCTAACGT